CTTTTAGTAAACACTAAATAACAAGGCTTATAGTTCACAGAAGCTGTAAGACAATATTGTTATGATTTGTTTGTTGTTGTGTGTGATTTTTTTTGTGTGTGCTGTACACCTCATTTATCCTGCTGTTTCTCATGCCTGCGGTTACCAAGGTAACATCTCTAGTGGTCTGCAAATTGAGAGTATGGTGCCCTGTAATGTTGGCTGCATGTTACTAAAGCACATTTCCCTGTTGTATGGAACACACTGTACACAGTGGGTCTTATTGGGCCAGTGCACCTCAGTGCAGCAAAACACTAAGATAGTTAATTAGTGTTTATGGAAAAATCAATGTTGTGACAGTGGTTCGGGGAAAAAAACATTCTCAGTTAAATCCTGCTCAGTGTGTGAGTTGATTTCTACTCGTATAAACTATAAATAATGTAATTTGTAAAATGTATTATCATCAATAGTGGGTTGCTAACAGTGCTACAAACATTTTTTTGGTCAAGGACGGAAAAAAAGATGCACGTAACAGAATCTTTATAATTCCATGGCCTTTAGAGAGAAAACACAGTGCACAGGTCTGCTTCAGGAGTGCAGGAAAAACCACATGCATTATACATTGTGCAAAGTGCACTACATTTATAGACCGGTGTACTTTTGAAGACATGACTCTACAGTACAATTGTGTTTTAATGGCAGGAAAACCATCTACAGTAGAGAACTGAAACTTTCTCTTGTACGTGACAACTGTACTTCTTCTGATTTGTGATCAAAAATATTTTTCTTAAGATTTTATTTTATATTAGGGCTGTTTTGCAAAGGTCAAACATGTGAGGAATAAATGATGGACTTGCATATATATATATATATATATATATATATACTCTATACATAAACATTTATTTATTTAAAGGGCTTGAAGCTAGCTTATTCAAATAGTGACCACAAATAGTATGAGAAGAAAACCTCCATTAAAGAAACACTGAGAGACAATGAGAGGATCCCTGTTGCTGAGTCATCAAAAATCCCTACAGATAACAGACAAGAACACAACACGAACCCACCAACATGCCACCAACCCGTGTGTCTGCTAGCATTGTATCCACAACACAACGAGGCGTTCAATGAGTCTGTTTGAGTTTTCAAAATATTCAATGCTTTTTAGAACATTTGCATGTTTGTGTTATTATTTTTTAAGTTTTAAGTTTTTCTTTTTTATTTAGCCACCTTTTTGGTGTTTTATTTTGGCTGGGCTTTAATTCTTTAGTTTATAATCTGCCCCAAATAAATTTATAAATAAATAGCCATGATTTAGAACAATGTTATTTGTGCTTAAAATAGGGTAGTTTTCTTTGGGTAAATGATTTAACCCTGGTAAAAAGGTAGGTTTTATGAAATTATTTGTTTCCTATATCCAGTGTAGAATAATCTAAGATTTCCTAATAAAAGTCGTATGCTTATAAAATATGGCCTTTTAAACCGGCTAATGGTTAAAAATTAGAGAGAAGTATATTGCCGGAGGCATGTTTAGTAGTGGCTCACACTTCTTTCAAAATGTTAAATTTCCAAAAGGTGAGTTGAATGGCAAGCCTAATTAGATGTCAGGAGTCCATTTTAAGTAGGAAAGAAAAGCAAATTCAAGTGTTTCTATTCATTTGTGCAAAACCAATTGAAAAATAACTATGACTGTGTGAGGATGCATGAATTACGCAAATTCTGCCCTTAAGACAACAACCAAAATTGCATTGTCCTTTTGATTTATGGCTTGTTTGCCACAAAACTGAATGTCGTAGTTTCAGGTAAAGCACACAGAAGAAACAAAACTCCAGAATAATAGATCATTCTGTTTTGAATATGGTTGTTACTTTAATGAAGAGGCTGACCGTTGAATATTCAAGTATCTCCTGCGCTGGGCTGCCTTAGCCAATCATAAATGCTGCATGCAGCCATTGGCTGAGCTCCGGAGAGAGTCGAGTACTGAGCTGTGAGGGGAGTGGGGGTTTCTCTATCTCCTCTGCACTCTCCCATTCAACCTCTGTAGTCAGCAGAACGAGCAGCTGAGCAGAACAACACAGCATCCACGGCGGCTTCAGCATCCTGCAGGAGAGTCTGCTCCAGGGAGGAGAGGGAGTGAGTGAAGAAAAGAGCAAGTGTTTGAGGAAAGAAACTGACAGATTAAGATGTGGAGAGAGACTGAGAGGAGCAGAGGAGGACTGAAAGTGGCATTTGAAAGGAATTGAGAAAACGCGCTCTGCCCGTTTGAGGACCACTGCAGCTGTACTAAATCTGGGGCTGTCAGGCAAACCCTCAGCATAGCAGAGAAGGAGCCGGGGGAAGAGGCAGAGGAGATGTAGACAGGAGGTGAAGAGCTGATCACATCACTCTGGACAAGCATGGATGGGGACCTCAAGAGCTTCTCTGTCAGCAGATCAAACTTCACACAGGAAAAGTGCGTTCAGATTCTCAATCTGAGCCTGTTTCTTCAACAGAGTGCAGAAACAGGCAGAGCAGAGAGTTGGTGAATCCTCTCCGAGGATCTCTTGGCTGCTGCACTGCTGAGTTCAGCTCAATTCTCTGCTGTCCTTTTCCCAAGGACCCCCCACTCCCGCCCCCACTACCACCCCCAGTCCACCTTCGCACCCGCCTGCTGCTGGTGAATGTCTTCTCTGCATGAACTCCCACTGCTCCGCAGTTGAACACACTCATGGTCGATGCCAAGGGAAGGAACATGAAATGTCTGACTTTCTTCTTGATGCTGCCTGAGTCAGTGAAAAGTAAGTCAAGCAAAAGCTCCAAGAAAGGGAATCCCAGCAGCAGCTCCAAACTGCCCCCCGTCTGTTATGAGATAATCACTCTGAGGAGCAAGAAGAAGAAGAAGATGTCAGGGGACATTTTTCCCACCAAAAAGCCCGCTTCCACCACTACGGTGCAACAGTACCAGCAGCAGAACCTCAACAACAACAACACCATTCAGAACTGTAACTGGCAGGGACTGTACTCCACTATCAGAGAGAGGTAGGTGTAAACACTTCCACTGGTAGGATTCATTTGAAAATGTCGGATTCTGAACCATTTTTTTTTTTGAGGTATTTACTATGGCTGTCAAAATGTCATTCATTGATTTATAAAATAATCATATCCAATGCAGAATCACCGATACACTATAACCAACAATTCCGCTGTCAATCCACTTATTGTTGCTGAGAAACATGATCAATACACACGTTGTTATTTGCTCATAACGCAGCAAAAAGTTTTCATTTGATCAAAGCACCTGGAGCTTAAAATGCCATTTAACACAGAATGTGTTTGTGGAGGCTTCAAGTTCAAGTAAGACTCCCAACTACCATCAATCCAGATTCACTGAGTCTATGTTTGACAAGCTGACTCACACGATTATCAAAGTGAGAGCAATGCACTATAGATCGAGCAATACTGGACAGGACAAAGACCTCATCAAAGTTCGGTAAGAAGCAACTGGCGACGTGTTCCACAAGCCACTGTCAGGATGAACAGTGATGACTAAAATCTACCAACTCTACGATGCTAAATGTTTTATATACTGTATATATTTCCACTATATTCAGTCTAATTAGTCACATATAAAAACATGCATAAAACACATACAGTAAATCTGCCTGTTGTTACTGGCCTTACTGTGCCACAATAAACAGAAAAAAAGTTCAAACTCATTTAATCCTGATTAATCTTAAATAAATATAATTGCACAATTAATTGTGGTTAGTCTACAGCTAATCAAATTGACCAGACCTAGCTTTTACATGTACTGCCTGTGTCTTTATGTCAGTGTGTACCCCCCACCTTACAGACTGTGCTGCTGTGACATGACACAGATCAGCCACTAGGTGTGTTTGACACTGATAACAGTAACAGGCTACTCTGTACTGAAGTATTTTGTCTCGGCCGGTCAGCAGAAGACCCCAGGTGTCCAGAGCAATATCTGCGTTCTGACCCAGCTCTGTTGTATCTGTGGATCATGGTGGGACTGTTTGCCCACCACTGTGACATGTTCCACTGCTCAATAATATATGAACACAGCCTTATTGTTATAGTAGCATTCACTTTATTGTCTTTTCGCTGTATTTGACATCCATGTGGGACAGAGTTTATCTGGGTTTACCCATCGGCTCTGTATTGTTTCCCATCCCACATCAGATCAACTGTCATAAAGAAGAACTTTTAGAAATCCAATTGAATTTCAATCCTGCCGTTAATCCTGATTACATTGTGTTTTTTATTTATTTATGTCGTCTTATCAGCCTTGTCTAATCCTATGGTTGTGTAAAGCTAAACTAAATTTGCATATGCATAAATTGGTCTCGACTGTTTCGCACTAATTTGAAGTTCATTATCGCCTGCATTCTGTCGCCATCTTTCGCAGAAACTCTGTGATGTTCAACAATGAGCTGATGGCAGATGTTCACTTTGTGGTCGGTCAGCACGGAAGAACCCAGCGGCTGCCTGGACACCGGGTAAGAATTTTATCCAGCAGTAAAATCGCATTATCAGGCAGGAAATTAACACACAAACAACCCCCACAGTCTGGGCCGGGGACGCTCATATCAGCATCAAAATAATCTCATTGGTAGCAGTAATGAAACTGAAGTCTTTTGTGCACCACACACACACACACACACACACACACTTCCGTGCCATGTGCCTTCTGGAGACAGCCCTCAATTATTTATGTAAATGTGGCTGAGGGAA